CTAGTGCCTTACTAGTAGTAACAAGAAGCGAACGTAGAAACAAGTGCATCGCTAGTAGAAACAAGTGCCTTACTAGTAGTAGCAAGAAGCGAACGTAGAAACAAGTGCATCGCTAGTAGAAACAAGTGCCTTACTAGTAGTAACAAGAAAGCTACTAGGAACAAGTGCATCGCTAGTAGTAACAAGTGCCTTACTAGTAGTAACAAGAAAGCTACTAGGAACAAGTGCATCGCTAGTAGTAACAAGTGCCTTACTAGTAGTAACAAGAAGCTAGTAGAAACAATAAGCTAATAGCTTCTTGCTCCTAGTAGTAAGGCCAGGAGCCGCGTTCGTAGCGTTCTTTCGTCCTCTCGTTTCTGTGTCCGATTCGCAGCTCGTCCCGTTCTTCCTTCGTCTCAGAAAGCATAACATCGAAGCATCGAAACATTGATTGTTCTACGTCATAACACCACCGGAATCCGTCACGAATCCTTCGAACAGCACTAGGGCTGCACTTGACAGCACAATTTTGAGCAACGTGAACAGCAATGACCTGACGCGTCTGACGGGGTTCACAAACCTTAGCTCGTTCGTCTAATATTCTAATCTTTCTTTACTTGGCGAAGGCAGTCCATCTGAAGGCGAAAATGAATAGAAAGGAAGAAAGAAAAACGAAAGGCCTGAAGGTCCAAAGCAAAATGATGAAAAATGAAAGAAAGAAGATGAAATGAAGACTCGGAGTGCTTTAAACGAAAGCAACTAGGTGGAGGCCATCGCAAGTAGGTTGGAGGCCATCGCTACCAGTAGCAAGGTGTCTTACTAGCAAGGTGCGGAGCCTCAGAGCTAGAGAAACGCAAAGAGACTCGGAAGATATGATAGCATTTGCCATGGACTGGGTGACTGCGGAGCCGTCGGTTCAGTTGGGTTCCCTGGCTCTTTCACGATCTGTGTGTCCGAGAACAGGAACACAACGCCTTTTCCTGGACGCGTGAGAGAAGGATGTGAAGGGGCCATCGCTCTTAGGTTGGAGGCCATTGCTTTGGAGGCCATTGCTATTAGGGAGGTAAGCAAAGCCTTCCAAAGGAAGGAAGCCTTCTGTGCTTGAAAAGAAGGAAATGTCTTTGTACGTCAAAGCCATGGCAGCCATGGCAAAAGCCTTTGACATGGCTGTGTTTGACATGGCTGCGTTTCGGTAGGGCAAGAGGGCGTGTTCAATGAGAGGGTGGTCAATCTGCATTCAATCCTAGTAGGTTGGAGGCCAATTGCTATTAGGTGTCTTTTGCTACTAGTAGGAACAAGGGAATCGCTACTAGGAACAATACTAGGAGCAAAGGGCATCGCTACTAGTAGCAAGAACGCTACTAGTGGCTCCTGGCACTACTACTAGTAGCAAGGACGCTAGTAGGTTCCCTTCGATTGTGTTCACCCATTTTTCCCTTGTATGACGGCCCTTTGGGGCCTACAGCGGCCTAACGTGAGCCTAAGGTTTTGGAGAACACGAAACACAAAACTTACTAGCTTATTCTAGTAGCAAGGCACTTGTTTCTACTAGTAAGGCACTTGTTACTAGTAGCAAGGCACGTGTTACTAGTAGCTTATTGTTTCTACTAGCTTCTTGTTCCTAGTAGTAATGCCAGGAGCTACTAGTAGTTTCTTTTTCCTAGTAGCGATGCCCTTTGTTACTAGTAGCGACCTTTCTCCTAGTAGTACGGCCAGGAGCCCCTAGTAGCATTCTTGCTACTAGTAGCTTATCCTAAATTACTAGCTTCTTGCTACTAGAACCTCCAACCTACTTGTGATGCACTTGTTCCTAGTAGCTTCTTGTTCCTAGTAGTAAGGCCAGGAGCCCCTAGTAGCTTCTTGTTACTACTAGTAAGGCACTTGCTACTACTAGCGATGCACTTGTTACTAGTAGCTTCTTGCTACTAGAACCTCCAACCTACTTGCGATGGCCTCCAAAAAAAAAGGTATTGGAGACAACACCACACTGCAGCATTTATACAGTTCTCCGCACTTGCGCTGTTTCTTTGCCCGTTCAGCGCCTCCTCCTTTGGCAACACCGTTCATGATGTTCTTCAAGTCCTCCTTGAATTCCGTAGAACCTGGAGCCATAGTTCTCTAAATCACGTTTGCTAGTAGGTTGGAGGCCATTGCTAGTAGAAACAAAGAAAAAAGAAAAGGAAGAAAGGTCTAATATAGGAACCAAATATATAGTAGCGTCCTCTTGTTACTAGTAGAAAGAGCGCCCCTAGTAGCTTCTTGCTCCGTTCGTGGCGATGCCCCTTGCTCCTAGTAGCTTCTTGTTACTAGTAGCTACTTGCTCCTAGTAGTACGGCCAGGAGCCCCTAGTAGCGGCCGTGAACATGCCATGTGAGACTCCAAGCTTCTGACCATAAGTCCGGGTGATCTCAATCGAAAAGCACTGGAAGTCTGCCATGTGAGCAGCAATCCGTGCAATGGATTTCCGTCCAACACCACTGACTCCGACCTCATTCGAGCCACTCACCACAAACGGAAGGCAGTTGGCAATGGCCTAATAGCTTCTTGTTCCTAGTAGCAAGAATACTCCTAGTAGTAAGGCCAGGAGACCCTAGTAGCGTCCTTGCTCCTAGTAGCGATGCCCTTTGTTCCTAGTAGCTTCTTGTTAGTAGCGATGGCCTCTATCCGTGCATCGGCGTACCCGGAGTTGAGAAAGGGATCTTGAGACTCGTGAAACAAGAACGCTACTAGGAGCAAAGAGTAAAAGGTGCTCCGAGGGCATTGCCATCAAGAGGTTTCCACCTGAGGAGCAACAATCGTATAAACACCGCTTAACATACCAACGACAAGTGCTTCTTTTCCTGGAAGGCATGGACACAAGAAAGGGGGCTCGGAACTGGATAACATGTCTAAAGGCAAAGGAAACAAACAATTTTAGAAAGGGCTTGATAGAACGGAAAGCATAATGAGAGCATCTCAATGGAAATGAAAGGAACATGAAAGCACTTTGAAGTTCAAACACAAAGGAACATAAACTGGCAGGATAACAAATGAACATGACTGTGCGTTGAAGGAAAATCATGGAAAATCATTGGCTTGATACGAGACCACAGCGCCGCCAACAGCACAAGGAACATTCGTTACTAGGGTGGAGGCCATCGCTACTAGGTTGGAGGCCATCGGTGTTCTTTCTTTCTTTCTTTCTGTCTTTCTTTCTTTCTTTCTTTCTTTCCTCCTTCCTTCTTTTCTTTCTTTTTGTCATGTCTTTCCCTTCTTTCTGTAGACCTTTCTTTCTCTGTTGTTTGCTTAGTGTTTGCTTGCCTAGTAGGCCTCCCCCCGAGTGTATCCAAAACAATATTGTATGTGTTGTTTTATTGAAAAGAAACAAAACCAAAGAAGGTAAAGCAAAACACTCCGACCAATGCGAACTACGCTATGACTTGGTGGATTTTGAAAAAAATTGAACTACGTTTTCTTGGTGAAGTCCAAGACCACTTCACGGTCGCATAGGAAAGAAGCAAAGTGGAAAGAAATTCCAAACGAAATTGACATAAAGTCTCAGGACTTAACGATTTAGACCTTCAAGTGTTAAAAACTCTAGTATATTTCGCTTTAATGATGTCATTTGTTCCTTCTCCGTTCATTCAGCTCCTTGCGAGGCTGTCGGATAGTTCTTGCGGCCCTTGACAAATGCATGCCTTGAATCAGAGAGTAAGCGACAATAAGTGACAAATGCCGCGCTGCGCTTCAAGTTCCCAGAAGCAATGGCCTCCAAACTACTAGCGATGGCCTCCAACCTAATACCTCAAAGCTCCAAGAATCCTGCAGGCATCCCGGAAGAAGACGATGTTCATCCTCAGGTCGGATGACATGTAATCTGTTTTTTTGACACTCAGGTTGGAACCATGTGCAAAGCCAAGAAACTTTGTTGGCATCATATTGTTGTAGTCGTCCAGCATTTCTTGAAAAATACTCACACACTTTTCTTCGCTGTCGACCTTTTGATAGATGCTCACATCCTTGGGCTAGAGCGAAGGCAAAACGGACACAAGCACACTTTGGTGAAAGCAAAGAAAGAAAAACAAATAGCTTCTTGTTTCTACTAGCTTCTTGTTACTAGTAGTAAGGCACTTGTTACTAGTAGCGATGCACTTGTTACTAGTAGCGAACAAAGAAAGGAAAGGAATAGAGTCTACTGGTTTTAAGAAATGGCATGGAGAGCTTCTTTGATGTGTGCGTTGAGCCCGGCACCCCGCCGCGGGTCAAGAAGTCCCCATAAATGAGATCTCTGAACCTCAACAAGGTCTCGGTGAAAAATACAAAATTTGTGGAAAAAAATGAAAAGAAAAAGAATGAAAAAAACATGTGAAGAAACGAACATCTTTCTTTCGTTTCTGCATCGTACTTCTTCGCATTCGCAGCGTTCGAACGGCGGTGCCGAGACTTAAGACCGTACAGACCGTACAGACCGTCTTCGAGCAGAGTCTGTTCTTGACATCGGCCATACCAGGACGCTACTAGGGGCTCCTGGCCTTACTACTAAGAGCAAGGAAACTACTAGGAACAAGGGCATCGCTGCTAGGTTGGAGGCTCCTAAGCTCAGGAGCGCTCGCATGCTGCGGGATCTGCAGGCTGCTGACCTTCTGAACCGGCACCTTCCACCCAAGAAAATGGCTAAGAGCGACGGCCTCCAACCAATTCTACTAGCGAACCTTGTTACTACTAGTAAGGCACTTGTTACTAGAAGCGATGCACTTGT